AGGATGCGGGTGTTAACACCTTCACCCCTGGTCAGCAGCGTATGGCGATCTGTACGTGCTCCGAGACCGGCCGCCACCTGGCCACGTTTACCCGTCGGCCAGGGTCGAGTCTTTACACACTGACGACTGCGCCTCCTCGGGTAGCTGCTACTGGTCAGATGTCTGCGTCAGGTCAGGTAGCCTCCCCTTGTGAGTGTCGCTCCTTGTCGCACCAGACTCTTCTCTGACACCACCGCCTGGGTCACCCCTACTTGCCACGTCTCCGTGGCATGCACCGTCGTCTCCTTGTGTCTGGTCTTCCCAGGTCTCTCCCTCCCCTCCGTGGCATGCACCGTCGTCTCCTTGTGTCTGGTCTTCCCAGGTCTCTCCCTCCCCTCCCTGCTTCGCCTGCGCCGCCCTACCTTCCTTGCGTCGAGGGGCGACAGCGCGCCGCTCCTCACTCCTCCTCGTTTCCCCCCACAGAGGCTCCTCTGCAGACCCTCCACCTGGATGTGTGGGGCCCAGCCTGCGTTCGTGGACAGGGTGGCGCGCGGTACTTTCTACTGGTTGTCGACGACTACTCGCGTTACACCACGGTATTCCCCTTGCGCACCAAGGGTGAGGTCCCTTGCTGTCCTGATCCCTTGGATACGAGTAGTTCGTCTCCAGCTCCGCAGCAGGTTCCGCCAGGACCTGCCTGTCTTGCGTCTGCACTCTGACAGAGGTGGTGAGTTCACCTCCGACCTTCTGCGGGCCTTCTGTCAGGGGGAGGGCATCGAGCAGTCGTTCACGCTTCCGGCCTCACCGCAGCAAAATGCGGTTGCTGAGCGCCGCATTGGCTTAGTCATGGAGGTCGCTCGTACCTCCTTGATCCATGCAGCGGCTCCCCATTTTCTGTGGCCGTTTGCGGTCCGGTACGCTGCGCAGCAGCTTAACCTCTGGCCCCGTGTCTCCTTGCCAGAGACCTCGCCCACACTGGGTTGGACGAGGGAGGTTGGCGATGCGTCGCGTTTTTGAGTATGGGGTGCTCGTGCCCTTGTCCGCGATACGTCTGCGGACAAGCTCTCCTCCCGCACCATTCCTTGTATCTTCCTTGGCTTTGTCCCTGACGCGCCTTGCTGGCAGTTTTACCACCCCACCTCGCGCTGTGACTTCCCCTCTCAGGACGTCACCTTTGACGAGTCAGTTCCTTTCTACCGTCTCTTCCCCTACTGCGTTGCCCCTCTCCCTCCCCCGCCGCCTTTCCTCGCTCCAGGTCCCCCTCCGGTAGACCCCCTCTCCCCTCAGGGTCCTGCTCCTTCACGTGTGTCTCAGGTTGACCCGCCCCCCTTGGCTAAGCCTGTAGAGGTCACTAGCGACTCAGGTGCTGCTACGGGAGGTGCTGCTGGGGGTGTTGCGTCTGGGGGTGCTGAGCCTGCACGTGAGGTGTTGGGGAGTGCGGAGCTTGGGGGTGCGAAGCCTGCGGGTGCGGAGCCTGGGGGTGCTGAGCCTACGAGTGTGGAGCCTGGGGGTGGGGAGCCTGGGGGTGCTGAGCCTACGAGTGCGGAACCTAGGAGTGCTGAGCCGGAGGGTGCCGGGTCGGGGGGTGCTGAGTCTACTGGCTTTCCTCTGGGTTTCGTTTCCCGCAGACCTGTCTCACCACAGCAGGCACAATAGTGGCTTGCGTCGCTTACCCGCCTGAGGAGTCGTGCTGCTGGAGGTGCTGCTGCTGGAGTCACTGGAGCTGGAGGTGCTGCTGCTGGAGGCACTAGAGCTGGAGGTTTTGGAGCTGCTGGAGGCGTTGGAGCTGCTGGTCCTGGTGGGACAGCACCGCCGCGACTTTTTTTCGCTCCTCCGTCTCGGTCGTCTCTACCACCGCCTGACTCCGTGCTTTGCCAGGTTCTTAGCCTCCCGTCTTCTACTTGTCACATCTCGGCGCACCACTGCCTGCTCCTTCTCCTTACACTGAGCTGATAGACTCGCTTACAGAGCGCCGTGAGGCTGCGTCTCGTCCTGCCTCGCCTATTCGCGCGCGTTGCACTGGTAGTCGTGTTCCTTGTGAGCGTCCACCTCCTGTCCCTGGCACGCACGCTATGGCACTTCGTCCTTCCTCTGTTCCACAGTGTGTTCCCCTGCCATCTCCTTCTGCGTCTTCTCTGCCTGATGTTCAGGACCCTGAGTCTGACCTGATTCGTGCTGCTCACCCTACTATCACGCGTCTGCTAGCAACTGTTGTCACTGACCCGTCGTTTGAGTCTGCTGCTGCAACTGCCTTAGTCTCTGAGCCTGTTGACTTTGCTACTGCCTGTTGTCTAGACTTCGCTGCTAGTCTTGCTGCTAGTCTTGTTGCTAAGTCTGGGTCTGACTGTCCTTCGTTCGTCGGGGGTGAGTATGCTCTTGGCACGGACGTCCTTGAGGACAGGCAGGAGACTTTGAGTGTCTTGCAACCGCTGCGCCTCATCTCGTGGCCATGCTACTTGCCCCTGAGGGAGACTCGGATGCTCCAGACATCCCGACCCCGCGCTCTTACGCTGAGGCGATCGCGGGTGAGTACTCCTCTCAGTGGCAGACAGCCATGGACACAGAGATGGCATCCTAGAAGTCCACAGGCACTTACATCGACGCACTTCCCCCTCCGGGGGCGAACATAGTCGATGGCATGTGGATATCCAGGGTGAAGCGGCCTCCGGGTTCTCCGCCTGTCTTCAAGGCTCGTTACGTTGCACGGGGCTTCAGTCAGCGCCAGGGAGTTGACTTCTTCCAGACCTTCTCCCCCACCCCGAAGATGACCACTCTTCGGGTACTGCTACACGTTGCCGCTCAGCACGACTACGAGCTCCACTCTCTCGACTTCAGCACAGCGTTCTTACAGGGCAATCTGCACGAGGAGATCTGGCTGCACCGCCCGCCTGGCTTCACTGGGTCGTTCCCTCCTAGTACCAAGTGGAGCCTCCGCCGGCTGGTCTACGGTCTCCGTCAGGCGCCTCGTGAGTGGCACGACACACTGAGGACGACACTTGCGGCCCTTGGGTTTGCACCTTCCATTGCTGACCCGTCGCTCTTTCTGCGCACCAACACTTCGCTGCCGCCGTTCTACATCCGCGTGTACGTCGATGACTTGGTCTTTGCCACTGCAGACACTGAGACTCTCGCCCACGTGAAGTTGGAGCTGCAGAAGAGACACACGTGCACAGACCTGGGTGAGTTGCGCAGCTACCTTGGCCTGCAGATCACCCGGGACAGAGCACGGCGCACCATCACCCTAACTCAATCACACATGGTGCAGCAGGTCCTTCCGCGCTTCGACTTCCAGTACTCCTCGCCATAGTCCACTCCTTTGCCTACCGGTCACTCGCTCGCAGCTCTGCCTTCGGATGGGTCTGTAGAGCCGAGTGGCCCGTATTTAGAGCTTATGGGCTGCCTCATGTACCTGATGACCTACACTCGACCTGACCTTGTTTACCCTCTTAGCATCCTTGCACGCTACGTTGCACCCGGGAGACACCGACCAGAGCACTGGAAGGCCGCTAAGAAGGTGATGCGCTACTTGTGCAGTACTTCGGGCATGGGGCTCGTGCTTGGAGGGCGGAGTTCAGTTGTCCTCACTGGGCACTCAGAAGCTTCTTGGGTTGACAACCTGGCTACGCAGCGGTCGTCACAGGGTTACACGTTCAGCCTTGGCTCTAGCTCTGTTTCTTGGCAGTCTACTCGCTCGTCTTCTGTTCTCAACTCTAGTTGTGAGGCTGAGATCTACGCCACAGCCATGGCTGCACAGAAGTTACGCTGGCTCACCTACCTGCTGACCCACTTGGGAGAGAGGGATCGTTCTCCTCCAGTTCTGTACGTCGACAACAAGGCTGCCATTGTCTTGTGTCAGGAGCACAGACTGGAGCACAGAACGAAGCACATCGCTCTACGTTACTTCCTTGCTCGAGAGTTGCAGCAGCGTGGTCAGCTTCGTGCTGCTCACGTGCCCACCCGAGGGAACACGGCTGATGTGTTCACCAAGGCCCTTGTGCCTGGTGATCATCAGCGCTTCTGCACTGCTCGAGGCCTAGTGCCTACATTTCCTCACTTGCTGTAGACTTTGGTTGTACTGTGATATATATGTATATATACATGCATGTTCACTCATGCTAGGTAGTGATCACTGTATTGTTGTTGTTGCATATATACCTCTGTATGTGAACTGGCCTTGTGGCCCTCTTGCTTGTGCTCGGAGTGTGTGGTGACGTTGTGATCCACCCTGAGCTTGCATTGCTTTTCTTGACTGGTCTTGTGACCCCTTGTTCTCCCCCACTTTGCCTATGCGGGTGTGTCAAACTATGTATGGTTTATAATTAGTGTAGGCTGTAGTGGGGTAGCCAATGTAGGGTACAACCCCTTAGGGTTCTCATCCTTGTACCCAACTCACTCGACACTCTAACCATTCCTAGCTACCTATTGAACAGGAGGATCAGCTGGAGGGAGCAGAGAGGAGCAGACGCTGGGAGGACGGGAAGGCAGTGAGAATGAGACAGCAGGGCCACCAAAGGAGCAGGGAGAAAGGGGAAGTTTCCGGCATAGACATTACATTTAAGTAAATAAACTTACCGGTACGGTAATTGTTTGAATACATCAAGGTGGGGTCTTAAAATGTTTCCTCCGCGAATGAGTCTCACGAAACCGTCTTTCCAGTGGATCCTATATACAGTACAGGACGGGGCATCACGGTACTTGAATCCACACAATGTAAGGACTGTTTCTATATCCTACCCCTAGCCTTCCCAGGAAACGTGGCTCGCCATGGCACCTCAGGGTCACAACTCCCTGCCTTGAAAGCAGCCATAGGTCTATTAGCATAATAAACGGCCGAGCTCGAATAACCAGACTCGGAAATTACATACGCATCACAGGATGCCAGCAGAAGCCACTCTGTTACCAGCTCCTGGAACATGCGCTCCTGCTCGAGCTTAGCCTCTTCCTGCTGCTGCCTTTCAAGCTCCCCTAGGCTTAGAGTGGAGAAGGCATTGCCACTGCTGCCAGCAGAACTAGAGCTCAGACTATTGGAATGACGAGGTATGAAGTCGGTTGTGATGACCTGGCAGCAGCAGAAAAACGAAAAGGGAAGGAGACACAGAGAAATCCAGCTCAAGAAAGAGAAAAGAGCAGCTTTTTGGGACACCATGACTCAAGCATCAATTGTGAAGATAGAAAGGCGCCATGTGTCCTGACCAAGAGCTAAGACCCAGAAAGGGACCATTGGCTAGAAGTTCTTTGTCGTACCTTATCTGATTGGGTTGGATTGCATCCCATTTTTTTCCATCCCTTCCTCGACCGACCTTTATTTGAGCTGAAGGCAAAGCAACTTCTGTATTAATCATTCGAATCAAACTTATTTTCTGAAAAAAAACTCTCCCCACTCCCCCTCCCATCTCACCTGCCCCCCTGGTCCCAACTCCCCCCGCTCCTCCTCCCACCGCACCCTTCCCCCCTCCCCTTCAGGTGCGCGCACATACACGCATCACGAACGCACTCACGCACGCACTCACGCACGCACTCACGCACGCACTCACGCACGCACAAACGCATTCACGCACGCACGCACACAAACACGCACACACACACACACACACACACACACACACACACACACACACACACACACACACACACACCTTGTGGGGAAACCGGGATGTAATGGCGGCCTTGAGCTGCACTGAGTTGGTGACAAGCATCCAGCGCACCGCCACAGACGACGGGAACCAGTACGCCTCCACCCGCTGCGGCACCGGGAGACAGGGCGAGGAAGTTGCCAGGAAGGTTGGAAAGCAGGGTGTGGGGAGAGGTGAGGGAAGGTGAGGATCGTTAGGACGTTGGGAGCCAATGCGGTTCCATATGCTTGGGGTTGGGGCATTAGGGGTTTGAAAATGAGGACTTGGGTTTAAAAAACAGATTATATAAATGCAGAAGGAGAAAAACATGAACCAAGAAGGATCAGTGCAACAATGAAAAGGGTAACAACACCCTTCACCTCTGCACCTATCGACCCACCCAAAACCAGAACCTTCAACCTAAAACCCAAAGAGGTCTTCTTCCGAACCTCCCCACTCCCACTCCCTGCCCTTCATCCCATCCCACTCACCCGAGCGCACTGAAGCCACCGCCTGGCGCGGGCAAGCAGCACGTCCACCTGCGTGTCGTTGAGCTCCTTGGGCGCCCCCCTGTCGCCCGCCCACACCACCTCGTCGCGCACACGGACGTGAATCCCCACCGTTGCCACGCGGCGCCTCCTCATCCCTGCTCCTCCCGCCCACGACCTCCTGCGCAGGCGCCGCTCGATGCTGCGGTACAGCGCCTGCACCTCCGGCTTGGGCCTGGCGGAGTGTTGGGGAGGGGCAGGAGGGGTAATGGGTTGGGGGGAGGGGGGAGAGGGGAGGGGAAGGAGAATGAGAAGGATGCTTGCACGTGTGTGGCTTGGGACTGGAAGACTGCCTGCAGGGAGATGGTGGAAGGATGGAAGAGGAAGAGGGAAGGGGGGTGACGGGGGATGGGTGAGGGGTAAACGGGGAGAGGGGAAGGGGGCGAGGAAGAGTGAGAACAGAATGCAAAAATAAAAATATATATAAAAAAAAACAAATCAAATCGGTAGAAATCCAGGAAAGGGGGGAATGGAAAGTGGTACAGCAATCCGAATGAGCCCATCCACATTCCACTTTCTTGCCCCTCGCCGGCCAACCCTCCTTCTTCCCCCTCTCCGTCCCCCACTCTTCTCCCCCCTCCCAACCCCCAACCCCCCCTCCCCCCCCCCCCCCCCACCTCGTACCGCATGAGGAAACGCAGCGAGCACCCAAGAGCGTACGGCAGGCGCATGCCCATCGCCGTGAACCTCGCTGCCCACTTCCCCCTCGCCCTCGTCTGCAGCCACGTCAGCACGCCGCGGTTGCTCGTCATGCGAACGTTCACGGCCCCTTCAAGCGGCCTAAAAAACGGCTCAATCTTCACAAACTTGTTCCGCAGCCACACCAGCACCACCTCCCCGTCGCGCGCGCGCTGCGGGATCGTCCTCCACCCTCGGTCCACAAACGAGAGGTTCCGCGCAGGTTCCAACGGCACGAACGGGGCGGGCTGCCAGTTGATCATGTTGGGCTCGAAGGCTGCGGGCAGGCAGCGGTTTCGGATGATGAGCGCGCGATTGTCGAGGAGAGCCACGACGAAGGCGGTTACCAGCCCCGCGAGCACGTCCGCGAAGCCTCCACAGCCGTCCAGCCACTCGAATGTGAGGAAACGAATGGACGGGTCGCGCGCATAGAAGCGGCTGGGACGGTCCTCCTCCCCCTCCTCCTCTCCTCCTTCCTCCGCCTCCTCTTCCGCCTCCGCCTCCGCCTCCGCCTTCCCGTCGTCCGTGTCATCTGACTTCTGCATCTCCCCTTCTCGTTGCCCCGCTCTCCTCACCGGCTGCTGTATCCCATCCGCCTTTTGCCATGCCACGTACGCGTTTGAAGCGCGTTCCAGTATTAGGCGGTGCAACGCGGCGTAGTCACTCGCCCACGACCCGCATAAACCGTTGGCGTCTGAGAAATTAAAGTCTAGGTAGCGCGGCAGGCGATTCCGTTGTCGTAGCTGCCGCTCCTGCCACCCGCCGTGGGTGAATGCGGGAAGAGATCAGCCACGAACCACGGAAAACAGAAACGAATGAACAGAACGGAAGCATTCAATGACAAGGCGTGGGAAAGAGTGTAAGGGGGGAAGCGACTCGACCAGATCTAGTGCGGGCCGGATCTATGGGCAGACCAGGATCTGCTTCCACACTATGTTTCGCAAACCCTATTACTAAGGCTACGCGGGCTTGCGGAGCAGGAGTCGGGGCGTTTCCCGATCCGTAGCGATCCCTTACCGCGACGCGCTGGGTGTTAGTCAGCGGGGCGAACGCGAGAACGAAATGCAGAGCGACGAGCAGCCGCGGCGCGATCGACCCACGAAACGCAATCCTGCCAGGCGGTCGTCCAGAGTGTACGTTAGCTCTCGGGGCGAGAGAGTCGGTTAGAAAGTTAAACATTTGAGATGAGTTTAGATCCGTAAGACGAGCAGCGGATTTCGGCAGCTAGAGGGTTCAATCGCTGGATATCTGTCCGCATAACGCGGTAACGATAGGTAATGCGTTACAGTAGTCTACTAGTTGCCTCCGTCGCTTAGTTTGACGTGACAGAACGGTACAGACGGAGACTCACCATTATGCTGCCACACTGACGACGTGCTAGGGTGGGTCGAGGTGCCAAGGTACGAACATTGTAGCGCAGGTGCGAGGTGTCCCGATGCTCACTGAAACAGCCACTAAGCTCTTTTGGCAGAGTAGTAGTAGTTGGTAGGAGGATTTCAGAAAGATAGTAGCAAGATAGCTTTACAAGAGATCATATGATGGCTTACATTTCAGAGGTACATCCTATTATACTAGGATACAGGCTATGGCGCCTCGAGCAGGTCGCTCAGGTCGCCATTCACCTTCCTAGAGCTAGGAACAGCAAGGCAAAGCATTTATTATTAGGTACATAGCATCCTAGCCTTGTTGTCTAGTCCTAGAACCAATCAGCAAAGTCTAGGAAAACACTAATGTAATGGGGCAGAGACTTCTCTGTCTTGTTGTCTTCCAGGTCTCGTTGATCATGATGAGTACGGGCACTGCTGGAAGTAGTCGTAGCTGTAGGGTCTTGTGCTGTCAAGTAATCTGCTGTGCTGTAGGTAGTTCTCTGCCCCGTTGTGTCCAGCACTAGTGTGCTCTCTGTACTTTGTTCCCACGGTTGGAAACTCAGAAAGTCGGGTCGCACATTTCAATGTTGGAGTTCCAACATTGAATTCCCGAAATGTACTTAGGGTGTGTTCCGAATTCTGGTTCGGATCACAAGGAGATGAGTTGGCGAAATCGAGGATGGCAAGATCGCCTTCGTCTTGTTCCATTGCTCCCCTCTCCAGCAAGCACCGTCCTCGGTGCTTGAGCAGATGCAAGGTAGCTGTGAAGGGCTCTCTGGGCATTCTGAAGGCTTGTCTCGGGTATCCAGAGGTTGTGAGAAGAGTCTTTCCCACGCCACTTAACAAGGAAGTAAGTGCCGCGAGGAGAGGTTTCATGGGACAGAATTTTCTCAACTTCAAAGAGATCAGGGTTGGATGTGAACATAGGAGGACGAGGAGGAAGAGGTAAGAGGGGGAAATGGGCTAGAGGAATGTAGTAGGGACGTAGCAGCTGAACGTGAAAAACAGGGTGTATGTTGATGTGTGGTGGAAGTTTCAAACGGTAGGTGAGAGGAGAGAGAACTTGGGTGATGGTGAAAGGGCCGATGAAACGAGGTGCAAGCTTACGAGTGAGACCTTTCTGCAGCAAGGGAAGGTTTGTGGTGGAGAGAAGGACTTGGTCACCTACGTGGAACTGAATGTCACGACGGTGTTGATCGGCATACCGGATCATTCGGTGTTGGGATTTGAGCAAGGAAGCGCGTGCTGCTGCAATGGTCTTTTCCCGAGTGGAGAGGAAGTCGGCTGCTAGTTTGGTGTCACTGCTGCGTACGAGAGAAGCTAGTGTGCGGGGCTGCTGCCCTGTAGCGAGGAAGAAAGGGGTTTGTCCCGTGGCGAGGTTCACCGTGTTGTTGTAGGAGAATTCGATCGATGGCAGGTGCTGGTCCCAATCGTTTTGCCGTGCACTCACGCATGCACGCAGGGCATCTTCAAGGGTTCGATTCATCCTCTCGGTCTGCCCATCGGACTGAGGATGGTAGGCAGTGGAGAGACGAATCTTGGTGCCCAATCTGTTGAAAAGGCACTGCCAAAATCTGCCAACAAACCGAGAATCACGGTCACTGATTAGTACGGAAGGAATGCCATGGAGACGTACCACCTCGTTGAAGAAGAGATCAGCGACGTTCTCAGCAGTAGCAGTGGTGGAGGTAGGGAGGAAGTGTTCCATCTTGCTGAGTTTGTCCACGACGGTGAGGATGGCATTGTGATGGGAGGAGGTGCGAGGCAGATCTGTGATAAAGTCGAGTGTCACATGAGTCCATGGGAGCTGAGGAATTTCCAGAGGGTGTAGGAGGCCGTAGGGTGCTGCGTTGCGAGCTTTGTTGCACTGGCATGTGTGGCAGCTGCGTACGTAGGAGCGGACATCTCGAGAGAGTTTGGGCCAGAAGAAGTTGGAAGAGATGGCAGCAAGCGTTTTGTCCACCCCGAAGTGCCCATTCTGATCATGATGCTCGCGTAGCAGGAGATGACGAAGCTTGCGCTCTGCGGGGACGCAGATGACTTGGGAATCTGCCTTATACCAAAAGGGGGATTCGTAGAAGACAGATTTATCATCAGCAGCAGAGTAGAGATAGAAACGGTCACGACGATACCCTTTGGTGAACTTTTTTATGAAACTTTCGTCCCATGTGACGCTTCCGATGGTGGTGAGCTGAGGTTGAGGAGGCCGGGTCAAGGAATCGGCAGGGTTGAGGCGGCCAGCGCGGTACTCGATTTTCAGCTCCGGTACGTACTGTTCCAGGTACTCCATCCATCGGGCCTGCCTCGGGGTGAGATGGGGCTGCGTCTTCAGGTATTGCAGGGTGCAGTGATCGGTAAGAACAGTGGCGGGCTGCATGTGAACATAGCAGCGCCACTTCTTGATTGCATGGACGATGGCCAGCGCCTCGCGATCGTGAGTAGCATAGTTGCACTCGGCAGGTTTGAGTTTCCGGGACTCGAAGGCGATAGGCTGAAGGCCATGCCCTTGATCTTGACTGAGAATTGCACCCGTTGCAACCTGAGACACATCTGTCCATATCACGTAGGGAAGGGAGGGGTTGGGTAGGGCTAGAGTAGGAGAAGAGGTTAGTGCACACTTGAGAGCATTGAAGGCAGTTTGCTGGTCAGAGTCCCAATGGAACGGTTCAGTTTTGCGAAAAAGGTTGGATAGGGGGGAGGTGATGGCAGCAAAGTGTCGAATGAACTTGCGGTAGTAGTTGGCAAGACCAAGGAAGGCTTGGACTTCCTTGATAGAGGTTGGCTCCTTCCATTCTCTGATGGCTTGGATTTTGGAAGGGTCCATAGCAAGCTGGTTGTGTGAGATGATGTGGCCCAAGAAAGGAATCGAGGGCTTGGCAAACTCACACTTGCTCTGTTTGGCGAAGAGACGATGCTCACGAAGCCGTGTGAAGACTTGCCTTAGATTCTCGGCGTGTTCCTTCAAGGATTTGCTATAAATCAGAATGTCATCGATGAAGATGATGACAAACCGGTCCAAGAAATCCCAAAAGACACTATGCATCAAGGACATGAAGGTGGCAGGGGCATTCGTTAGTCCGAAAGGAAGCATGAGAAACTCGAAATGCCCATACCGTGTTCGAAAAGCGGTTTTCTCGATGTCTTCGTCAGCGACACGCACTTGATGGTAACCGCTTCGTAGGTCCAGCTTGCTGAAAATTGTGGCCTCACCAAGTTGATCAAAGAGTTCTTCCACTCGAGGTAGCGGGTAGCGATTCTTGACGGTGATTTTGTTGAGCGCACGGTAGTCAACGCACATGCGCATGCTGCCATCTTTCTTTTTGACGAAGAGAATCAGTGCTGCATAGGGAGAGGAGCTGACACGGATGAAGCCCTTCTCAAGAAGCTCCTCCAACTGCTTCTGGACTTCTTTCAGCTCAGCAGCGCTCATCCGGTACGTAGCGCGAACGGTAGGTTCAGCACCGGGTTGCAAGATGATGCGGTGATCGATGGCACGCTTCGGAGGGAGTGAAGAGGGAAGATCAGCAGGGAAGATGTCTTTGAACTCGTTCACAACATGTTGAATTTCAGAAGGGATTTCAACAGCCTTGGGAAGGAGATGGAGAAGGGGATTTTCTGATATTTGATTCAAAAAACAGAGGAAGAATTGAGAGCTTGGGTCTTTGAGGGATTTTTTCAGCTGCCGTTTCGAGAGGAGGTTGCAGCAAGTAGAGGTAGAGGAGGAGGAGGAGAAGGTAGGTAAGGTGATGTCTCTTCCAGAGTGAGAGATGGTGACGGTTCCAAGAGTCCAATCGATCTTGGGATTTTTTAGGGAAAGCCAGTCACGTCCTAAGAATCACTTCATGGTCTCCAAGAGATGCCTGCTAAAATTGAATCTTGTCTTTGTAGGGTCCAATGGTGCATGAAACAGGAAATGGTACTCGTCCACATGAGGTCGAGGTTCCGTTCGCCATCAACACTGTTTGAGGTAAGGAATCAGTTTGAGTTGGGAGGGAAAGCTTGGAGAGTAGAGAGGAGGAGATGAAGCTAGAGGAAGCACCACTGTCAACTAGAGCTTTCACTCTCTGACCACAAATCAGCATGGAAAGGAGAAGAGGTTCAGAGGGGTTACGACTTTCAAGGGAAGAGATGGTGGGGCAGACATAGTCACCAGAAAGTTGCCCCGAGTTTACTGGCGGCTTGAGTTTCCCGGCGTTGGAAGGATGGGGGGCAGATTGTTGCGCTGGCGGCATACTTTCCAGATGTGCCCTTTCTTGCCGCACTTGTAGCACATGATGACAGGCCTTGGGTTCCTCTTCCTCTTCTCCATCAGGTCCAGGTCCATAGGTGCAGGTTCTTGCAGATTTGAGTCCGTTGGAGTAGATGGCTGGTAGGAGGGAGCAAACGGGAGGAACGGGCTACGAGGAAAGCAAGGCTTGTTGTATGCATAGTGGACAGCATCATACCGTTCAGCCACGCGTATCATTTCCTTGAGCGTAGAGCAGTCCCTCAGCTCGACCTCCATGCGCACGTTCGTTTTCAGCTCGCGCTTGAAGCGATCCATCCGTTCAGCATCGGAAAGGTCCGGGATCTCTTGAGCGATGTCACGGAAGCGAGAAGCGTATTCTTGAACAGATTTGAGTTGCTTCAGAGTAGCCAAGGAGTCTCATGCTCGGATGTTCGGGTTCACCGGTTGAAAGGTAGCAGTGAAGACTTGCTTGAATTGATCCCATGACTGGATGGTCGCATGCACGGATTGCCACCAGGTGATAGCAGATCCACGAAGAAGGGTGCCAGTGAAAGCAGTCCACTCGGCAGGAACTATGTGACTTA